AAAAAAGATAACCTCCTTTTCTCCAGATCCTTAATCACATCTGCAAAGTCCCTTCTGCCATAGAGGGTAACATTCACTGCTTCCAGTGATTAGGGTATGTGTATCTTTGGGGGACATTACTCACCTCTTTTCTTTTCTGATGATTGAGCAAGACATGCTGGCTGGATTGTCAGAAGAGGTAATTTATGCATCATCTTTAGTTAAACTCTGGACTTGAGTCATCGGCTTGTTCAGAGTTCACTAGAGAGTCGGTTATGTTCCCACTGAGACACACTGTCACCTGCCCACCTGTGTTAGGAAGACAAGGGAAGCTTTTTCTTAATCCTGGGTTGCTCATTGTCTCAGAGACACCTGGGGATTGGATATACAGAAGAAGGCAGCTGTACTGGACCAGTGCTGGGGGGGGCTGGGCCCAAGGAAGCTGGGTCCTCCTCTCTTGCTCCTCCCTCCACACCTCACTTGCGCCTACACACTCCATTTGATCCAGCAACTGCATGATGGTCTCTGAGACCACTGTGTAATCAAATTAGAACTCAGGATTAAAAACTCACTCAAAACCGCACAACAACAAGGAAACTGAACAACCTGCTCTTGAATTACTACTGGATAAATAATGAAGGGAAGGCAGAAATAAAGATGTTCTTCAAACCAGTGAGAATGAAGACATGATGTACCAGAATCTCTGGGACACATTTTAAGCAGTGTCTAGAGGGAAATACATAAGCACTCAATGCCCACATGAGAAGTGAGGAAAGATCTAAAATTCACACCTTATCATCACAATTTTAAAAACTAGAGGAGCAAGATAAAAAAAAACTCAAAAGCTAGCAGAAGACAAGAAATAACTAAGATCAGAGCAGAACTGAAGGAGATAGAGACACAAAAAACCCTTCAAAAACTCAATGAATCCAAGAGCTGATTTTTGGAAAAGATCAACAAAATAGACAGACTGCTAGCCAGAGTAATAAAAAAGAGAAGAATTGAATAGATGCAATAAAAAATGATAAAGGAGATATTACCACTGATTCCACAGAAATACAAACTACCATCAGGGATTACTACAAATCTATGCATATAAACTAGTCAATCTAGAAGAAATGGATCAATTCCTAGACACTTACACTGTCCCAATACTAAACCAGGAAGAAGTCAAATCCCTGAATAGATATGAAGGTATGAAGTTGAGGCAGCAATTAATAGCCTACCAACCAAAAAAAGCCCAGGTACAGATGGGTTCACAGCCGAATTCTACCAGACATACAAAAAGGAGCTACTACCAATCCTTCTGAAACTATTCCAAACAATACAAAAAGAGGGAATCCTCCCTAACTCATTTTATGAGACCAACATCATCCTGATACCAAAACCCGGCAGAGACATAACTAAAAAAGAATATTTCAGGCCACTATCCATGATGCACAACGATGCAAAAATCTTCAATAAAATGCTGGCAAACTGAATGTAAAAGCACATCAAAAAGCTTATCCATCACGATCAAGTAGGCTTCATCCCAGGGATGCAAGGCTGGTTTAACATATACAAATCTATAAATGTAATCCATCATATTAACAGAACCAAAGACACAACCACATGATTATCTTAATAGATGCAGAAAAGGCCTTCAACAAAATTCAACAGCGCTTTATGCTGAAAACTCTCAATAAGCTAGGGATCGATGGAATGTATCTCAAAATAATAAAAACTATTTACAACAAACCCACAGCAAATATCATACTGTTGGTGGGAACATAAATTACTTCAATCATTGTGGAAGACAGTGTTGTGATTCCTCAGGGATCTAGAACCAGAAATAACATTTGACCCAGTAATCCCATTACTGGGTATATACCCAAATGATTATAAATCGTTCTATTATAAAGACACATGCACACATATGTTCATTGTGGCACTGTTTACAATAGCAAAGACCTGGAACCAATCCAAGTGCTCATCATTGATAGACTGGATAAAGAAAATGTGACACATATACACCATGGAATACTATGCAGCCATAAAAAAGAATGAGTTCATGTCCTTTGCAGAGACATGGATGAATCTGGAAACCATCATTCTCAGCAAACTGACACAAGAACAGAAAACCAAATACCGCATGTTCTTACTCATAGGTGGGTGTTGAACAATGAGAACACATGGACACAGGGAGGGAAACATCACACACTGGGGTCTGTTGGGAGGTGGGAGCTAGGGGAGGGATAGCAGGGGGTGGGGTGATTGGGGAGGGACAACACTGGGAGAAATACCTAAAGTAGGTGATGGAGGGATAGAGACAGCAAACCACCATGGCATGTTTATATCTGTGTAGCAATCCCGTAAGATCTGTGCATGTACCCCAGAACTTAAAGTATAATTAAAAAAAAAAAAGAAAAACCTCAATGATTTTATACATTTTATATATGTTTTGGTAGAATAAAATAAATTCTGTAAAACAATGGAAAAGTAATTTAAGTACTTGTAAATCTATGTCAATATCACCAAGACAATGGAGTTAAACTAAC